TCTATCTGTGTTTCATTGATTATGCAAAGGCATTTGACTGTGTGGATCATAACAAACTGTGGCTGACTCTGAGAAGAATGGGAATCCTAGAACATTTAATTGTGCTAATACGAAACCTATACTTGGACCAAGAGGCAGTAGTCAGAACAGAGCAGGGTAACACTGCATGGTTCAAAATAGGGAAGGGTGTACGCCAGGGATGCATCCTGTCTCCATACCTTTTCAACATGTATGCAGAGCAGATTATCCGAGAGGCTGGGCTCTATGAGGAGAATTGTGGCCTCAGGATTGGTGGAAGATCTATCAACAATCTCCATTATGCAGATGACACAACCTTGCTTGCTGAAACTGAGGAGGACCTCATGCACTTGCTGCGAAGGGTCAAGGACTGCAGCCTTCAGTATGGACTAAGGCTCAACGTCAAGAAGACAAAGATTCTCGCCACTGGACCAATTGGCAGCGTCAGGATGGATGATGAAGAGATTGAGAGTGTTCACAGCTTCACTTTGCTCGGCTCTACAGTTAACACTCTTGGTACCAGCAGCCAGGAAATCAAAAAGCGTATCGCGATGGGAAAGTCTGCCATTAGGGACCTCTCAAACGTACTCAGGAGCAACAGTGTCTCTCTGGAGACTAAGGTGCGCCTGATACAGGTCATGGTATTTGCAATCGCTTTTTATGCATCAGAGAGTTGGACAATGACTAGGGAGGACAGAAGGAGAGTGGATGCTTTTGAGCTGTGGTGCTGTAGAAGGGTACTGAATGTACCCTGGACTGCCAGGAAAACAAACAGATCCATCTTGGAGAGGATTAAACCAAGCTGCTCCTTGGAGGCAAGGATTCTGGGGCTTCGTCCGACATACTTTGGACATGTTGCCAGGAGGGACGGGTCCTTGGAGAGGGACATCATGCTTGGGAGGGTGGAGGGACAGTGCAGGAGGGGAAGACCCTCTATGAGATGGATTGATTCGGTGACTGGGGTAATCGGGATGGGTGTGTCAGAGGCGGTGTGGTTGGTGCAGGATAGAGCAGGGTTTAGAGTTGTTGTGCATAGGGTCGCTATGAGTTGGAAACGACTCGATGGCACATAACAACAACAACAAACAGAGGAACTAAGAAATTAAGAAAGATACCTAGAATTTCACTTAACTATCCACTTCCTAAACAACATGCCTCCAGAAACTCTACGAAAGTTGATAAATGTTGATAGTTATAGAAAGGCTTCAAGCCTTTTGTTCAGAAGGTTGCTATGAGTCAATGCTTGACTCGAAGGCAATCAACAACAAATACTACAAATGATTCAAGTTTTTCTGAAAAGTCCATTAACATTTATATTATAATGCAGAATATTTCCAAAGTAAAATAGGGACACCAAGTTCACTACTTCCAAAGTCCTTACTATGTAATTACAAGTTCTCTTCAAAAATTTTTTTCTCTTCAAAAAGAAAATATAAGATGCACTATAACTACTTCTTAAATACTAATTGAAGTCTCACGAAAATAAATATTCTTTGGGTCACAATACACAATTTACTTCATCCTGTGGAATGTCAGGGAAAGCATAAATGAAAATTTCCCCACCGTTCTTAAATATGACTCCTAGAAAATGTAATTTTAAAACTAGGTTTTTTCTAGTTACCAAAAAGAATGTATTCTATTGGTTTTTAAGAGACTTTCAGTTATAAGCAGTCAATAGTTACACACAAGATTCTTTTTTAAGTATATGTACTAAACATTTAACAAATACTTTTATTTCACACTTTAGATCTATCAACACTTAAAGTTAGCATGACTTTGGACATGCTTTAGTTCTGATCATAGAAACTTTATATTTAAGAAAAGAAAGTACAGAGAAAGCCTTTAACCAAAACTATAAACTAGCACCATATGGGAGTAGGGGGAGAGGTAAAACGATCAAATATTCATGTAATACTGGATTTCACATAAAATTGAGGCAATGTTCAAAAAAAGGTGTTCTATATGTATAATTCCTTGTAAACTTCCCCACACTCTGATCTTTCTATTACTCCACAGCCCTGCAGAAAGTGTAGGGAGTTTAGTTTGATTTTTGTTTTCAAGAAATTTGAATTCACTTGTAACTATTCTTTTTTCCACACAAGTAACTTTGTCATTCCTATCAAAAAATAAAAATATACAAAGCCTTCTTCCTATAAAAGCAATTTGAAGATAATTTTTTTTTAATGCTGATTTTTTAAGTTGCTGCTATTATAGCAGGAGTGGCATCCACTTCCCAAACAACATGTCTCTGGAAACACTATGAACTTTGAGAAATGACGATAGTTATAGAAAGGCTTCAAGCCTCTTGTTTATAGAGTCACTATGAGTCATGCTTGTGCTCAACTCAACAGCAAACAACAATTATTAGTTTTAAACTATGTAACATTCTTAACACTATTAAACATAATATATGAATCAAGACTATTTTCAAAAAGTAATGCAATCTCATAAAACTTTATAAAGCATGTTAAAATAATTAAATGAAAAAAAAAATGAGGGATGATTACGAGCCCAACAGTTGGGTTTGTTGGTTTTATGGTGTCTTTCTTAATAAACTTATTAATTAACACAATCAATCATTAAACTTCAAGTTTGTCTTTCAATAATCCCAAATCAATGTAAGACATCTGCAATTACAGTATATAAAAAAGAATTTGGTCAATATGCAGCCAGTAACTTGAAATGAAACCAGAATCTCCATTTCCCTGTTTTTCTTTCAAGTGGAAAATAAAATTACTTAGTGGATGTTTAGATTAGATTAGATAGATAGATAGATAGATAGATAGATAGATAGATAGATAGATAGAGTAAGCCACATGAACACAAGTTTTTCTCCTAAATCATCAGCAAATATAGTATGCAAGCTTTCTTAAGCCAAGCTGTCTTCTCTTCACAGGCACCTATTCAAGTTTCTCTTTTGATCTAATTTCATAATATCAGAAAATTGTTGAAGAAAAAATCCAGTGGAAAACCCACAAAAAAAGGAGGAACAACTATACAGAAAAAAATAAAATAGCACTGTGTACATAAGAGTATCAACTTATTTTATCACAGTGTAAAATAGGAGGAGGAGAACAGTGGAAAATGATGGGCGAGACAAGTCATAGTTTGCCTTTCACTTGGGTATAATCAACCAGGTCCATCTAGTATTATAACGAATACCTCATAGTAGTTTTAAATATGAAATAATTAAATATTATCACATTGGTTATTTGTATAAGAAATGCATTTTTCATCTTTAAATGACAGAAAATCATTTTTGGAGCAAAGTTATTAAGATAATCTCAATAATCATAAAATAATTTATCAAGCGATAAACATTAAAAAAACTCAACTCATTGCCACTGAGTCAGATGCAACTCAGAGATGGCTCTCCAGTAGCTTTATAGGGAATAAAACCTCAGGGAAGGAAACTGGCCATCTTACTCCCACAGAGCAGCTGACAGATTCAAACTGTCTACCTCTGGGGTAACAGCACACTTTATTAACTACCAGGTCACCAACATTCCTGAGCATTAAGCAGTACTTAATGGAACTCAGGAGCTGCCGCTTACCTATATAAACGGGCTCATTCTTCCTGGTTATCTCATTTTGACAAAGACTATAAACACAACCTGGAATTCTCTTCAAATACATTTTGGTTATCAAATTTACTAAACCAATAATGTATAAAAATAAATACTACATTTTTATATGAAACATAGTTCTAGTTTGGAATCAACTCAATGGCAATTGATATTGGTATTAGAACTACATTATTACATAACACACTTATTAAAACACAATGAGACACAGAGGTAGTAACACATTTTTTTTAAGCCTCAGTGGTATATAAGTACAAGATATACATATTATAGATATGATCTTGGCCTACTTGGCTAGTGTTAAGAAACTGCTCTTCAATCCCAAAGGCAAGTGGATCAAATCCACCAGCTGGTCCACAAAATAAGGATTGGCAATCTCCTCCCACGTGATAAACTGCCTCTGAAAAATCTCTGGAGAGTCAGCTATGGGTCAGTTCCAACTCAATGGCACAGAACACCACCACCACAATCTAAAATTAGGGAGCTTTGGTGGCCTAGGGATAAGAAGCTGTGGTGTAATCCCAAAGGCATGGGGTCTGAAACCACCAGCTGCTCCACAGAAAAAAGATGGGCAATCTTCTCCTGTTTAATTAACTACCTCTGAAAACCCCCACTGGAGGTTCAGCTATTGATTGGTTCCAACTTGATGGTACACAGTAACAATGTAAACGGGGAAGTCTGATGACCTAGAGTTAAGAAATTGTGCTGGCAAATTCAAGGCAGATGAGTCAAATCCATCAGCCACTCTAGGGAGAAAGATGGGACAAGCTCCTCTTAAGCAATTTATAGCTTCTGAAAACCTGCTGGGAGTCAATTCTGACTCGATGACACATAACAATAGCACACTGTAAAATTTTTTGTTTGTTTGTATTTAACAATGAAAAATGTTTTATATAACTTTCCAATTTCTTTTTATAATCTAGATTAAAAGAAACTTGGTGCACGGTAAAACATTTTTCTAAAATCTTTGTTTATTTGTAGTGAGGAGAAGAAGAATGGGAAAAAAATCTCAAATGCTAAATCTATTAATAATTGGGAAAAAAATACTTTCCCTTCCAAAATAATACTCAGTTTCTCCTTCTACTTAAAACCCACAAAATAACCATTTTGTTAAATTCTTGGTATTTGTTTCATTTTATCAGTGAGACCTTTAACAGCTCCTTATGTGAATTCAATGAATAGTCTGCATCCTGTTGTATAAAAAGATAATTTAAATACTTCTAATCTGAAAAAAATACAATGTAACTAATAAAAATGTTGCATTTTTATTCCACTTACACTACAAAAGTTAACAGCAACCAAGAGTTTGTCTTCTACCATGCTTATTAAATAAATATATTTCTAAGGAAATGTCTTCATTATACTTTATTAAGGTATTTAGAAAAAGAAGACACTTACTTGCATCTGCCTGGCTTCCCACACTAATATAGCGATCATTTCCAGGAAGTGCTGTTTGGTAGTATGTGGCCTCCTCCTGCTGAGGGGTCTTGGCATTCTTTGCAGTAAGAAAAGCCACTGCTAATTCCAAGTTTCCATTACTATCCTTCAAATACCAAAATAGGAACATCAAATATTTTAGACTAACTGTATTTCACAATTTTCTCCAAAAAAAAAACTAAACAATACTGAAGATCACTTTGAGATTTGGAATTATAATTCTAGTTAAAATGTCAACACACTTTATACAAAGTATAATAATTAACTATCAATTCATTTTTTTCCCCTAGAAATGAAAAGTACTTATCCAACATAAGGATCAATTCTGTAACTTCTTAGTTTTAGGTTAGAAAGTGTTCCCTGTTTAATAAAAGTCAATAACAAATGATGCTTCTAAAAAAGGTTTCTAGAACTAGCCATATAGAAGAGGACACATTTCATATTTAGAACAGTACTTATGCTAACAATAAAAGAGATTATTTTATTTTATTAAGTACTGAAATATACTAACATCATATTTAATAAACAAAATGTCAACAACTTATAGAAATAAGAGTAAAACTGTTACCAAACTGTTACAGTGAACAGAGTTATACAGAGCTCATGCACAAGAACACTCAATGTTGTCAGGATAAAAATTCTATCCAAATTAAATATAAATTTTAACATTTCATCCACAGCTTATCTGGAGAAAAAAAAAATCCTAATGTTCCTACAAAAGAAACCTGATGGGTTGGGGTAAGACTGAGAAAACCTGGATAAGAGACCAGTCCTTGGAGAGGGACATCATGCTGGGGAGGGTGGAGGGACAGCGCAGGAGAGGAAGGCCCTCTATGAGGTGGATTGATTCAGTGACTGGGATAATTGGGATGGGAGTGTCAGAGACAGTGCGA